CCCTGACCTCTTTGGCTCCTGGTGCTGACTGTAAAAACAAAACAAAAAAAAGCAGACTGCTCTCCAGAAGTGATCTCCTTAAGTAAAGGGTGTCCAATCCAATTTTACACCAGGAGAGTGCTTAAGATTAGAGGTAGTGTTTTTTTCATTGTGCTCTTCAGTAATAGGAGGAGAAAGGGTGAAAGGAGAGATGGAGGGAAAGAGGAATGGAAAGGAAAGGGAGATCGATAAAGCGCCGCTCTCTCTGGTTGGCCTTTATTCTTCGTCATCGTCGTGTCCGTGGAGATGAGGTTCAGGCGACGTTGAAGCGCTGCAAAGGGACCGGTTCTTCCCCCCCCACACAAACAGGCCTGCAGGTAGAGAACCAGTGGACGACTCGCTGGCAGCCATAATGAACAGCGATCTCTTCCAGTGGGACCGGTTTGCAGGAGATCATCTTGACGAGCCGGCCTCTGTGTAAAAAAAACAACAAAAGGGCGCGCGGTCGCACTGGGACGACCACAACTCCCTTGATATGCACGGGGCTTTGTTTTATTTTCTTCTCCCAGTTCACATCCAGTCGAATAACTCGTTTGTCACATACATCAGAGGAAGAGGAAGATCACACGAGAGCCAGCGTTACTTTGTGTTTCACTAATGAGGCCTGTGCTCTCCGCCTCCTTGCTGCGGCGCTACAACGCTGAAGTAGTTTTCTTTCTCCAGCACACTGAGCTCCGGGCTTTTATCCTGTTTGTGTGTCACTTGGCTCAGTCTCAGTTCTTTGCGCTTTGACACAGATACGCTGGCCCGAGCGCCCCGTGAGCGTAAACCGTTTGAGATCCTGACCGACCCGAGCGCGAGAGCGAACACTCGAAGGCAGATTTAACAAGTTTACTAGAACGCGTCATGACAAATGCAGAACTGAAGGCATGAAGAGTCCAGTACTGCTAGTGAGGAAAATAAACTACATCATAGATCCCCCCCCCAGAAACAAGGAACTGTCAAATAAATAGCTGATATCGAGCAAAACAAGAAGCCGAAAGCAGAAGCTCTCTTACAACTTGCTCATCAGAAATATATCAGACAGAATGAAGCACCCCCAACAAAAAAGGAGATTTTTAGATTCATGACCTGACAAGAATCCACAAAATACAAGCTGAGCTGATCAATGCAACAGTCCAAGTCTACATTGTTTACACGCACACTTGTGCATTGAGTTTAAGTCTGATCCCGGTTTGATCACATCTGGGATATGATCAGATAACAGAAGGAAGGGGAGGAGAACGCAGCGTGAAATACGCTACCCACACAGTCGTATCCTCACACAACGTCTGGTATCCTACGAGAGAGACTCCTCATTTTTTGTGCACTTTTATACGAAAGTCCAGCAACGGACGGGTTCAAACTAAATGTCCGCTACATTCTTACAGTCTTTTCAAAATGAACTTCTAGGTTTAGGCAACAAAAACTCAGGAAGAGATCATGACGTTGTTGAAGTACGCAAGTTACGTGAGAAAGACGTTGACGTCTCGTTTCACACGGGGAACGAACAGTAAATCGATGAATTACGGCGCATCATTCTTCGTAGGTATAGCTATGAATTCTGTATGAGAGCAGCCTGAGTGATGACTAGAAGAACAATGCTATTCATCCTCTCCTTCATGTATTCACCTTAGATCAACACATGCTGATTTATTGATCGACTACTATTGTAGCCTGTATTGAGAACGCCCAAAATAGCCCCCTGTTGGTCGGGACATGTTGCTCAGGTACCAGTGAGGAGACGATTTACGGTCCAGGAAGTCCAACTTGATTTATACATCCAAGAGTATGAAGGCTTATCTAATGGCAAAATACAGCACAGCTGTTTATAATACTATGAAGGAGACTTGTGTTTGTCTTCAGGTTTACGTTCGAGCACAGTTCACCGATAGAAGAGACATCTGCACACTCGGATCTATGTTTCACTTTATTTGAGCCTTCGGTCTAACAGATCTAAGTGAGCGGACACATTCCATTTGGATAGAAAGCAGCGCTTTAGCAGGACGACGCGGCAAATAGCTTGCGGCCAAAGTTGTGACGCGTTCCACCTCTGTGCGTCGTGTTCCCCGAGGCCTCTGCATGGACACCTCTGCTCCTAATGAGGAGTCAGTGTGTTTCCAAGGGCCTCAGGTGCCGCAGTATCCCGGATTAAATCAGAATAAACCAGCTAGCGTAATGAGATCTCTCTGAAACCAGCTTTTCGATGTCTATATCATGTTTTCCCTTTTCATGTACTAGGTTTTTACAAACACATATTAGAGCTGTGTGGGAGGGGTCTTGACACTAGAAGACATAACTGGAGCTTTGATCCACCTTAATGAGTCGAGAGTAGCACCTCCGTGTTTGCAGTCCGCTGAGCTTCCCGTCTCTGCCGGACTGCTGAGCTCCTGGTTTGAAAAGGAGGACACATGATCCGGTGGTAGTCACACCAGGAGGTGCAGGTTTTTTCTTCAGTCGACCCACCCCATTCTCCTTTCAAAATGGGCGCTTAGAAATTGAAAATTGCCAACACGGAGAGAGCTTCCTTGAATTAGGATGCCCCGGAATGCAAGTGTGTTATATAATGCCATGACTGGAGGGAGAGGAAAAGTAGAGCACAGGGGTAGAGATTAAAAAAAAAGTTTCTGCATAAAAAGAGAAGGGGGGGAGAGAGCATGAAAGGGAAAAGGGGAGTGGGGGGGATTGAGGGAGAGACAGAGGGGGTTGGAGTACAGTATAATGAAAAAGAGAAGGGGGATTAGGTCAGGCAGGAGCGAGGGTCCACTCCCCCGGCAGCAGCAGCAGCCTTGAGGCTCCGCCGGCTGCAGGAAGCTGGTCAATCCCTCTCTCAAGGCTCCTCTCTTCTTCTCTTTTTTCTTTTTTCATCTAGATAATGGAACATTTCCTTAATTGGCGGAGCACGGTTTAGGCCGAGTTTGTTTGCCAACGCGTCAGAGTAGAATCATTTCCACTACATTTACAGCATAGTGTTGCTCTGGCTCTCTCTCTCTCTCTCTCTCTCTCTCTCTCTCTCTCTCTCTCATTAAAAACCGCAGCCTCCTCCTGCCCAGATAGAAGCTTTCTGAGGAAGTCTGCAGAAAGAGGCCAAACATCACGGCAGCAAGGAACGGAGCAAAAAAAAGCAGGGAGAATATAACACATTTATCTCCTATCTCACCATCCCCAGCCAGCTTGTAAAGGAAGAGACAGAAACTTCTCTATCTGTTTACTGTTATTGTTTTTCTCCAATGATAAACCCTCACTTCTGGCTGCAATCGTGCGCCTTCTCCTCCCTCTCTCTTATCGAAAGAGTTATGCATTGAGCTCGCATGATCTGTATCTTTAAATTTGATTGAGGGAATTTGCAGGGGGTGTTATTGGATTTCGGTGTTATTGTCTCACCTTTTTCCCCCTCTGTGTTTTTAATGTTGGGATGGATACCTGCTCCGGCAGCACTGATCTCGCTGTTCTGCTCATTAGTCTGGATTGGCAGAGCCCGTAGTGCTTCACAACAATAAGACACGCACTTCTGTAGTCCGGCTATTACCGGGTTTAACAATGTGCACCCGCCAGAAAAGTCCATTATTTCTGCAGCTCATCATCTCAAGCATCCACACGAGACAAAGGGTCTGTGGAACCGCTCCGTTGCAAGAGGACCATCTATCACTTAAGTCAGGAGCGGAGTCTAAGAAACGTATGCGGTGCAGATACCACATACTGAGACTTCTGGAAGCATATGGAAGTTTGAGAGTTGGGCTCAGTTTCAAACTCTTTCAGGGGCGTTTTCATGAGCCGTAGTTCGTTTGGTTCATTCTCTGTTTCGTCTGGTTCGGTTTCACAATGAACAAATTAAAGAAGAACAAAACTAAATATATATTTTTGCTGAGGGATCGGGTAAAAACGGGCAAATTAATTTATTTATTTTGTCTTGAGAGCTGCTATCTCTACGCAGGGAATCGGCTGTCAACGTTTCTTTCACTTTGACTCGGATCTCCTGTGCAGCCCGAATCCCTTCTCTTTCAGTTCATCTCATTTTACTTTATAAGCGTCACCATTTTTGGACTTTTTGCAGAAGTCCAACTCAGTCCTTTCCCACTCCAGTGTACCTGTTGTTTACCTTCCTCCATCTCAACAGAACGCCTGTGTTTTTGGTTTACTTCCTGCAATGGGGATCGCATTATGCTCACGGAGTTGGCATGTAAATGTTTGTTTTGGTCCGGACCAGAGTACGATTACTAAAACGGACTAAGCGACGGCTTGTGAAAGCGCCCTTCAGATACCAACTGAATGTGTCTCCAAAGAGTTTTAAAACTGAAAGTATCAAAAGGCACTTGACATTTAATCTGGCGTCATTCTCGGTCACATCCTTCTCTGCATTCTTGTTTTTCTCTTCTGGGAAACTTTCCGATTTTGCTAGTTTCAGACATTTAATGTTTGCCAAGGTTCTTGTACGGCAAAACTGCATTTGAGATTTCAACACGGTGCCAAAACACATCAGACGAGAATCCTGGTTTTGGCCCCCGTTAGGAACGATTCCAAACAGCACCATGAGTGGTAGGAAAGCTCCTACAGTGAGACACGGGTTGATGTTTAAAGTAGGCGAGCGGAGCTCGGAGAGCGAGCAGCTGCTACTTTAACAGACCTGTCACTGAAATCAAAGGCCCTAATCAAAATTTTATCAATTAATTGATCTTTCCTCTTGCGCTTTGCCACGAGTGCAATTGAGATTCCCGCCTGACTCTTGCCCCTCCGACAGCGAGCCATGCTCTACAACATAAACTGTGTTCATTAGCGGTGATCAAGGAATTCTGTAATGTGAGCTGAGATGTGATGTGATGGCTGTTTCCCCAAACCTGACTTAGTTGGTTTGCAGGACAACGCTCCCCGGTTGCCTCTCCCTAATCGCACTGGTGAACTTTCATGCTGCTTGTACCCGTCAAACAACGTACTTTAATCTGTAGTTGTAACGCTTTGCTTCACGTTGTGCGTTTCTCTCGCAGGGTAACCAAGAGGCCACTAACCCCCCAGAAGCGATGGCCCAGCCGTACACCCCAGCCCAGTACCCGCCTCCCCCACAGAATGGCATCCCCGCAGAGTTTGCGGCACCGCACCCGCTCCCGACACAGGACTACACCGGGCAGAGCCGGGTCCCCGAGCACGCCATGACCCTCTACACGCCCACACAGACGCACAGCGAGCCGGCCGGCACTGACAACAGCACGCCCGCCATCACCGCCACCACGACCGCACCGGTCAGTGTCCTTCATCATCTGCAAACACTGTTCTCAACACGCTGTCAGCAAGTAAAATATCTTATTATCACTATTTTACCTTTTTATTTCGTTTTTTTCTCTTCCTAACGTTGATGATGTCTAGAGAAAGAGTATAATGTATTTATGTGTATTGATTTCAAAGTCAATTTATAATTGGTAAATTGTGATTCTGGACATTTTTATCATTAAAGCTGCAGTTGGTAACTTGAACAAAAATAACTTCCTGAAACTATAACTGTAACCAAGAGGTAGGACTCGAGTCACATGACTTGCACTCGAGTCACATTTGATGACTTCTGGCTCGACTTGACACATTTTAAAAAGACTTGACTTGGACTTAAACGCCAACGACTCGTGACTTCACTCGGACTTGACCCTTTTGACTTGAAAATACTCGATACCTTCCCCCAGAGATCAAAAAGCATGTCATTTTAAAAGTGTGCCACAAAAATCAATTTCATGAATCAAGAGACATTAATTCAGTTTGCCTTTTCTTTCACAGCAAGTCGACATTTTTCAGTCAGACAGAAGTTGTTTCAACAGATAAATACAAATTTTAAAAAAGCGTTCGGAATTTTTGTCAAATTTGATATATTGTTACGCTGATGTTAAAAATGGCATTACATTAGGTGAAGAGCACATTATGACTTGTTTAAGAACCGGAACTCCAAGTTCAGGATTTGGGACTTGACTTGGGACTCGACTTGGGACTCGACTTGGGACTCGACTTGGTTCTCGACTTGGGACTCGACTGGGGACTCGACTTGGGTCTCGACTTGGGACTCGACTGGGGACTCGACTTGGGTCTCGACTTGGGACTCCACTTGGGTCTCAACTTGGGACTCGACTTGGGTCTCGACTTGGGACTCGACTTGGGACTCGAGTGCAAAGACTAAAGATATATTTGTGACTTGCAAAGGAGATAATCTGGTCCTTCTTCCTCCAGTAGTGCTCCTAATGTTTCAGAAACATATTCTAGTTCTTGTTCAGCTGTGAAATGAGAACGTTTTCTCCAGCCGGTGGACTCGGACGTTTTTAACACGACGACCGGGTCAAAAAACGAGAGGTTGTTCTTCTCCGGAGCGCTAAAAGGAGGCGTGCACCTGATTATCTTTCTCATGAACCACTGACGAGATCAAGTGAATTATTTGATAAAGTTACCAGTTGCAGCTTTAACAAAGGAGACTGAAGTCAGCATGCTTGGTGGCTTCTGTCTCACAGCAGTTTGATTGAGAAGCTAAATCGAATCTTTTCCTGCTTCTTGTTTCCCCTCCCTGACTTCTGTTTCTCCGAGGAATGTTGTTGTTTGTTTGTTTTTACTTTTATCCCCCTCACACTTCCCATCGTCTGCCATTGCCCAAAGCCTGAACGCTCCAGCGCCATTTGTGCTAACGACCACTTCCTGTCTTGTGCCATAAAGCAACTTCTCTCAGAAACACGGGAGATTTACAAATTTGCCCACGAATCTAACTCACAGTTGCACACAGACGATAAATTAAAATGTAGTGAATTAATAGCAATTACACCTTTAATTATACATCGCATAAATCATAATTATACATGATCTTAATCAAGGTGTGTTGAAAGAGACTTCATTTCTCTTCATTTGCAAATATAATCCTGTATTATTGTGGTATATATTTGATTTACCCAGAGTTGCATTTGGAAACGTTGCAGTTGCACCAGTGGTGTGATGGACTACATCCAGATTTTTTAAATATTTTATTGTATTTTTTATTATTGTAGTTGAAAATGTGATTATTCTTTGCATCACCTTCACAAAAAAACTAAATAAAAGTGAAGGTGGAGAGTAACAGTAGCGCGGAGAGGACTAATCATCAGGAAGCAGCAGAAGACTTTGATGTCACGGCGGCGCTTTGTGCTCGACCGTAGGAGGTGAATTTGGGTGAAGATATGCTCGTGGAATGAAAGTGCATTTCTGAGGAGCCATTTGGGCCCCCCCAAAAAAAACATGTAAGCCTGCGCTGTTTTATTTATTTGCGTAAAGGAGATGTGACACGATGTACACATGAATGATTCAGGCTCTCTAAAAAGGAGGACACGCCCTTCTCCCCTCATCTTTCTCGGTCCGTTAAAGGAAGACAGGCTGTCTCAAATCAGTTACTTGCGAGCGCATTTAAATGTTAGAGACGTGCCTTTAAACACAAGACGGTACCTTCTGTGCCAGGACCTGATTACGCTCCTTTCCCCTCACCGTAAGATTGCATATATTTAAAGTGTTGGCACTCCAAGTGGAAAAACAAAACCGCTGGCAACGCTGCACGTCGAGATACACGGCTGAAATTCAAAATTCTATATTATACATTTCATTCTTGTGTTCTGATACTCTGATATGAAATACCTCGACCTGGGATTTACCTTCACACGAGGCAGATGCAGATAAAAGGGAGGACGACTTAGCTCCAAACTTTGGAGACGTGTCAAGAGAGACGGATAATGCTGGCAGAGATGAGATAAAGAAAAGAAAAGAATAAGACCTCGAGACCTTCCTTTTCATTTTAGCGTGAAAACACCTGCTGGGAGGGAGGGGGGGGGGGGGGCACAGCGAGGCCACAGCCCTCCTGAGAGGGATCTGGGTCACTCATAAAGAGCTTTGTTAATAACTCCCATTTTCACCGAGCCCTCACGATTGCCGTGTGGACGAATGGGACATTTGGCTGGCGAGAAAGTGCTGATGCGGCAGGAAGCGGAGCCGCGGCGACTCGAGCGGCGGCGGCGGCGTCGTTATCGCCCGGTGCCCCGTAATGGAGCGGTGTTTGATTTAAAGATCTGTGCGCCGCTCTCCAACTGCTCCGCTGGTTATGCGCCGCACTTACAGTAATGGCTGACACACGAGAAAGTTTAAAGTGAGGAGAGGACTTGGCAGGAGGTTCAGCCTCCTCCTTCTTCTCCTTCCTCCTCCTTCCTCTTCCTCCCCCCTCGACACTGTACACCACTCCCCCGCTCACTATCTCTCTCTCTCTCTCTCTCTCATTTGATTTGATTTCATCTGCTCACCCGCTGTGAAGAAAGCCCAGAGATGGTGGCCATGGAGAGATGAGAGCTCGCCTTGCTCTCCTCCCCCCCCCCCCCTCTCTCTCTCTCTCTCTCTCTCTGCGCTGTCCCTGGCTTTCCACCATCTTCATTCTCTTCATCCACGCTCTCTTCCCGACTTCCACCCCGTCTTTTTTTTTTCTCCGGGAGGACAGAGGGATGAGATTAGTGGGGTGTAAACAGAGAGTCTAATCCTCGGGGGCCGCTGGTGTAGTGTCGCCCACCGCTGAGTTCCCCGGCTTTAATGACAGACCCAGCCTGTTTGCTCTGGGTTGCCACAGACGGGCCCGGGTGCCTTTGATTAGGGCACCCTGCAGAAACACAGATTGAGGGAGCAGATCAGCTACTCACTGAGACTCCCCCCCACCGTCGCTCGCCCTCCTCCCAAGGCTCGACTTTGCTGCGCTCAGCTCCTCCACCCCACGAAGACGCTTTACTCTGCACATCTTCTCGACTTAAAGACTTAAAAAAGAGTCAAGAGAGAGTGAAAATTCAGTGAAACGTATGGATTCTGTGTGAATTCCCTGCAGAGAGCGGAGAGTGTGTATGTTTTAATGAGGCGCTGGGACTCTCTCTTTGCTTCTCGTGTCTACCACTCCCCCCCCCCCCAGTCTATACTAGGAAGGTGTCGTTGTCCAGAGCCGGACCTCTGGGACCTCGCTCTGTGCCATGTTCAAACAAGCTGACTTGAAAGCAGGCGACTTGAGGATGTGAGAGGCAGCCCCCAACTTTTCTCCAAATCCTAGGAGATGAGGGTAGCAGAGGGCTGCCAGGGAGCTCTGCTGGAGAAGAGAAAAAAAAAAACTGAGCTCGTTATCTGGCTCAGTTCAAATAGTCTGAGGTTTGGTTGAATTTCATGAGTAATCATTCTCTTTTCAGATAACAAATTAAGGCAGTGGCGTTAGGGCAGCACTCAATTCCAGATTTTTCACAGCCCGTGTCAGCGGCATGAAGATTTTCCAAAGGGTATTCTGGGGGACTGTGATAACATAGACACACACACACACACACACACACACAAGGGCATGCAGAAACACCCGGGCCAGCACAAGCAAACATCCACACGTACGCACACGCGCACGCGCTCTCATCTCTCGTGAGCCGTGTTTAAGGGATTGTGACCCCCGTCAGGGTGTCGCTTTCGGAGGCGGCGCTGACGGCAGCATGTAGGCCGCCATTAAGAAGGGGATGACTGTGTTATCTGGACGTGGGAGGAACCGCTGATTTCACCACAACTGTATATTCACTTCTTTTTAAAAGATATTATAGATATCCACAACCTCTCCTGGACCCTTTAAGCATGTTATATTGTTTCTTATTGTCAACAAATCCCATGAAAAGACCAAACCAACAAGTTAAGTCAAGTAATAAAGTCATTGCCTCTGTAGTTTTTATCAAACAAACAGGAGGAATTTGGACATTTGTTGGGGACTATTTTCAGCGGTGGATTAATCCACATTTGTTCCTCTAGTGCAGAGGTTCTTAATTGTTTTCGAGCCAAAGACCATTTCCATTACAAGATAGAGACTATACCGGTGTCCCCCCTCATGCTCATGTATGTCCTCAGTCTTCGTTATGTGAAGGAACAACACAAGATACATTCACGAGACGTGTGTTAAAGATTGCTTCATCTCAACACATAAAACAATAAAACTGTTCATAAATCAGTTCAATTAGCTGAAAGTAAATCTGTACCTAAACTAAATATCAAAGGCAAATCAAGAGAAAAGGGATCATTTGATGTGCATTTCAGAACACACACACACACACACACACTCTCACACACACACACTCTCACACACACACACACACACACACACACACACACACACACACAGTGTTTCACTCTCACACACACACTCACACACTCACAGTGTTTCACTCTCACACACACTCACACACTCACAGTGTTTCACTCTCACACACACTCACACACTCACACAGTGTTTCACTCTCACACACACTCACACACTCACAGTGTTTCACTCTCACTCACACACTCACACAGTGTTTCACTCTCAGTGCACACACACTCACACTCACACAATGTTTCACTCTCACACACACACTCACACACTCACACAGTGTTTCACTCTCACACACACTCACACACTCACACAGTGTTTCACTCTGTGCACACACTCACACACAGTGTTTCACTCTCAGTGCACACACACACTCACACAATGTTTCACTCTCAGTGCACACACACACACTCACAGTGTTTCACTCTCAGTGCACACACACACACTCACACAGTGTTTCACTCTCAGTGCACACACACACACTCACACAGTGTTTCACTCTCAGTGCACACACAGGCTAAATATAACACAGATTCAGATTACAGTATTTAAAATAATATACAATGTGTTATATTAGAACATGATCGATGAAATATTTTAGATTAAGACAAAATAAATAGTATTCGTTGAACTATGAAGTCTTTTGTAAAAAAAATCAAAAAAACAAAGAGTTTAAATCATGATCATTTAAACGAAGGAATCTCACTTTAAGGATCACTGCTCTGGTGAGTATTTGTGGGACTAAGTCCAAATATACTACAGTGTGTGTGTGTGTGTGTGTGTGTGTGTGTGTGTGTGTGTGTGTGTTCATGGTGATGAAGGAACATGTCAGCCAGTGCAACAGTGAGGCTCAGTGATGTGTTTTTAATGGAGCTCTATGGCTCAGAGGAAGAAGATAAGATACACACACACACACACACACACACACACACACACACACACACACACGCACACACACACACAGTACGTGTTAGGAGACACATTCGTTTGTTGGGATCTGTTGACTATAAAAACAACAATAAAACATCCCCGGTGTTATCATCTCAATCCGTGTCCATCGGTTTTAATCTTTTCGGGTTATTTCAGTGAAGTCGGTTTAGCACTACAATACCCACAATCCTCTTCCAGAAGTGAGCCAGAACCCTGAAGTTCAAGCTCAGTGATGCTTCCGAACTAAATGTATCTTGAGATTTTGCTTTAGTTTTTATTCGTCCACGCTTTCAACCAAAGAACCAGATATATATTCTAATTTTGATCCATGTCTTTCCAAACCTTATTGGTGTTCCAGCTGTCAATCACCCAAAACCGTCCACGCAGACAATTTTACAGTTCTGTCCCCTGAACGCCCGAAGAACTCCGCTACACCTATTTAACATTAATCAGAGGAGGGGGGGGAGGATTTATGTCTGTGGCTGCTTTATAGAAAGAAAACAAACAGTGCAGGATCGGGAGAGGGGGGGGGGATGATGAATGAAAGCTCATGCATTATAATTCTTGCAAGCAAAGACGCAGTACCCCCCACCCCCCCCCATTTAATCGGATGTAATCTACCTGCTTGGCAGCATTCCAATCAGATAGTTTCAATTATGCTCGTGTAATGCCACTCTGTGAGGAGGGGGAAAGTGCTGAGCAGAGCACTTTGCAGGCGATTTGCAAATAACAGCAAGGGAGTCTTTTAGAGAAATGACTGAACAGGAAGCCGGAGAGTTGCTGGAGTTGACAGCTCTCTCACTCTCTGGTTTGCCAGCTCTCTGGCGGTGATGGCGTGTTTTGCATCCCTCCTCCTCCTCCTCGTCCTCCGTGACAGCAGCTGTCGGGACAGTAAAGTGCCACTGAAGGTGGCCTCCTATGGTAATACGGAGGTAATTATTTTCCACTGCAAAAACCAACGTCTCACAAACCAGGCAGGCTGTGAGACGGCGGGAGCGGCGCGCAGAGGCAGGCGTCCCGGATCTCAGTGACACCCCGAGTTATTGAGTTAGTAGGATGCGGTCTGGTGTGCTTGGGACTCAGCAATTCAGCATTTGTGTTCCTCCGTATGTGTATTTGCCCCCTCCCCCCTCCGATGTCAGCGTGCTGCTGGCCTGTTTGAGCGCCCGAGTGAAAGTTAATCTCGATGTTTGCAAACACGCGACTGTGCTCGCCGGGATATACGTATATATATTTATATATATATATATATATTTATATATATATACTGTATATAAATAATAAGAAGCCAGGCAGACAGAGCTGGAGGACAGCGGCGCTCAGTAGTCTGGCAACATACGCTAAGGGTCGATAGTGTCATGTGTGACCGATGAAACGGATTGACCCGCGGGGCTCTGGTACCTTGTCACCCTCCGCGGTCCCAGCATCTGTCTGCAATGTGTCACCCCCGGGGCCCAACATGGCTACTCAGGCTATTAACCTCCAGCGCGCGAGGACACGGCAGAGTTAAGACCCCTTTTCTGACCGTCTCTCTGTCACAAATCCACTCCTCAGCGGTGCATTTCTTTCGTCCCCCCTCCCACCCCGCCGTGTCCTTCGCCACTTGTTACCCCCTCTGGTCCTGGAAGCCGTCAAAGCCCCCAGGGGCCAGCGGGACTTAGGCCGCTGCCACCGACCTGCCGTACCTGGGTGGCTGCAGGGGAGACAAAGTGGGACCTTGAATCAAACAACTGTCACCGTTAACAATGTATGTCACCGTCTCCGAATGGGCCATAAAAACCGAATAAATGACGGCCATTACAGTGGAGATTGTGATTATGATAATGAGAATAATAAAGGCGATCATCATTACGATCATGATGATAATGATAACACTGTGATGATGAATTATAATGAATAAATCCCTTCCCCATTTCCTAAATGGTGGGAAATGTATCACTAAGAGCGGCCCGCGGCCGTGCGACAGCCTCGGAGCGGGGCGAGGGTTACCGCTGTGTGTCATTTGAACCGCTCGTACTCCGGCAACAACCTTCTCCCTTTTCACGTCTGCGTCTCCGTACGAGATTGTTTCCGCCTGTGTGACTTCCCAGCCGGGTGTATGGTGTGCGTTTGCCGTGCTCGGAGAGAGCACTTCCCGGGAGACCTCGCAGTTTACATATCACATTCAAACAGCTTTTGTGCTCAATATCTGCCACTTCCACTCTCTCATTTCTCACCCTCCCCTTCCTCTCTGCTCTCCTTTATTCAGTTGCTCTACGAATCACCGGGGTTTATTTTGTATTGATTTTAATCATCCGCTGAATGGAGACTTTTCCCACCAGGAAGAACACGGCACTTTGTTCAAAACATGCTAAAAACAACCTTCATGTTTTCCTGATGAGGGGGCCTCTTGTGGTCATGCAAGAGACTACTGTCCTCTCTCAGAAGTAAAGGTGGGAGTAGTACGTGATTGTTTCCTTTGTCGGGCTTCGACGCTACTTAGCTCACTAACTAACAGGACGTATCTTGTGTGTATTATCTGTACATCTGTGCAGGTGTTTCCAGCTTTACAGTGGGTTGCCAGATACAGTCTGTCATTTACCCGTCTTTAGTGTAGGTTTCAGGCACGACCAAACTTGGCAACCTCACTGTCACCTCACCCGGGTGTTGTTTGGTAAAATAAAATATGGCCTTTATATCTGTGTTTGTGTCCAGATTAAACTACGAGATATATGCGTGAATGAGCGAGCGTTAGCGGTGCCGGACGGAGCCAGATTACCTGCTTCCAGTCTTTATGCTAAGCTAGGCTAATAGCCTCCTGGATCTATAGCACCACACTTAATATTCATACATGAGAATGATACTGTCCTTGTGATTTAACGCTGAAAGAAAGGGCAAATAATCATTGAATTAACCTTAACGACGGTTAGAAAACAGTTTCATGAACAATTTGTGCAGAAGTTAAATGTGTTTTAAAAGACAATTACCTATTTTACCAAATATGAGGATTTGTGAGGATAGACTTATCCCACAACCGTGCATATAGAAGAGAGGACTATTCTGTGGACCGATGAGCTTTTGTTCACAGAAAATACATCAGGAACAAAATAAAACCTGCCTCAGAAACAAGGTCCATCTAAACAGACAAAGCCGGCAGCACCTCAGTGGAATCCATCACGGGTGTCACAGGGAGAAACAAGCAGAATTTGTCATTGACATCCGACGCGTCATTTATATAGAAATGTCAGCATAGCATTCGCATAATGATGGAAAACAACAACGCTGAGGGCTGTGGTCCCTGTGCACTCTGACGGCTGTGTGCAAACGTCACCAATAATGTGTCTTTAGTCTAGACGTGTCAGGGCTCTGTGGGATCTATATCCACGCCTTCTTGTCAGCTCCCTTCAATCTTCGCTGTTGCTCGAGAGCTAAGTGCAAGAGATTAATAAGTGGATTTGTAATGCACAACCTCAGGTTTGACACTATAAGTCATCGGCTGTTTATCGCTTCGGCTTTCTCGCCCGGATTGAAAAATGGCAGACGCTGAGTAAGTTAGTTAGCCCCCCTGCACCCCCCCTCCCCCTCCTATTTCAACCCCCCTTCTTCTTCCTTCTCGTACTTCAGGACCGGGAGGTACAGTATACTGTAGCAGCTAATGAGCAGCTTGTGTCTTTTCTGTTTGTTTCCCTCTGGCAGACAGATGATGTGACGCAAACAGAGGGCTCTCAGCAGCTCCAGCTCCAGCACTCAGACTCTTCAGAGAAGCAGCAGCCCAAAAGGTTACACGTCTCCAACATTCCCTTCCGCTTCCGGGACCCCGACCTAAGGCAAATGTTTGGGGTGAGTGCCACGGAGGAACAATCCAATTTATTACAACTTATTTTTGTAGGTTGGGGGCCTTTTTTCCCCTGTTGCTTAATGTCACAGTGTACCTGTTAAGTTAAGTCCTGTGATCTGTGAGCACGGCGACGACGGAACAACAAAGCGGGTTTTTGTATTGGAGGCACGCCGCCTCGCCTGAAACAAAGAGCGGCTTCACTTACGCCGGAAGAAATGAAATATTCAAGCTTCAGGGAGAACAAGCAGCTGGGCTCAAATCCCACAGGCCGCGTGTTTAGTGAGCGAGGCCATTCTCTCATCAAGTTACTACATTTTCTGAATTTTTACAAGTTGGGGGAAAAGTAAAGATAAACAGCCCAATCGGTCACAATCAGGTGCTGATGGGTGAGAGGAAGAAACCTCACAGCTACTCTGACACCAGAGTGAAGTCAGGTGAGAGATGGAGCCCAGCACGCCGATCATTCCACCGTTCATCTTCGTCCTCTCTCTCCGTTGGCAAACCGGTTGATTTAAAACCAGTTTGATCAACTTGATGAGCTTGAGCAACGTTGCCGTGTCCCCAGATGTCAGCAATTAACTTGGTGAGAGCAAAGTTATTAACATTTGGAAATGATGACAAAAACTGTGACCGGGGGAAAAAAAAACTTCACCAGCTTCCTTCTCCAAAAGCTTGCTGGAATCATGACTGAATAATTTCCTGTTTCAAAGATACGCATACAGATGCCGTCAGCTGCAGACAAACGCAATCAGATTACATATCAGCGTACCAGAAGCCCTCGACAGAGATCCTCTCTCTCTCTCTCTCCCTGTCTCTCTCCCTGTCTCTTGCCCAATTAATGAGGCAATGAATAGTTCAACAGCTCACCCTTGTGTCTCACAAAAGCCTCAATAAGAATTGAACCATACATCCCCAATTCAATAACCATAATGGATCTGAACGGAGACGATTGCCAAAAATGTACTTTAAATGTTACACGCTAATTGGACCATTAGAACCCGGAGGCGTTAATTCTCGTTCTTATGAAGACAACATCCAGCTGATGATATTAATTACTGGAGAGCCCTGGCTGGGGCTTTTATAAATTGCAGACAACATGGCTGCTCTCTCTCTCTCTCTCTCTCTCTCTCTCTCTCTCTCTCTCATTGTGGGCGTTATTGTTCGCGTCTCTGGTGCAGGTCGCGTTGAATCCAAATCGCCTCAGTAATTAGCTCGGAGGCTTTGTGTGCCTGGCCCGACGCATGCAGATATACGATACAAAATTGATCGCGGCCCACCCAGTCCCCCTCAATCACCCCACGTGTTGCCCCCCCCCCCCCCTCCTGGTGGTTGGCATAGTAGAGGATTGCTGGGATTGATTGTCTCGGGTAGAACTTGGCAAGGAGATAGCTGGTCCGCGCCACCCTCTGACACGGCCCCCACAATGGGCTTTTGTGTGAGCGGCGTGTGCAAAAGCCTCATCCCATCCAGCTCTAATGGCTTCTGGAGCGCCACCGGCTCAATACGCCATTACTGCTGCGCGTGAGTGAAACCCACAGACATGCAGCGGGGGGGGAGACGGAGGAGAAGGAGAGTGGTGGAGTTTGCTGCTCCGTCACACGGCACGGAGAAACCCTAACTCTTTTGGTGCCGGCACCCTAAAACAAGGAGGGGAATGCCTGAGATGCCCCCCCCCCCCAGGGTTAAAGGGGTGCGGAGAAACCTGTGAGCCTTTTTAACGAGGCGCTGAATGAAGGGCTCATTAGGACGACCACAGCGGACCTTAATCAGTAATTAGAAACTGTGATCTCTGAGAGCTCGCGAGTGCAGCGGAAATGAAAACACTCCAAGCACGAGCGAGCGAGCGGGCGAGCTCTGTGCGGCGCCCATGCTGCGCTGCTCGAGGGTGCCCTCGTTTGTGCGACCGGGTTCCTCAGCAGTGCTTCCCTCAGTGCATGTAAGGGCTCTCACAGCATTCCCCCGGAGCAATCAGGACCTCCGCCCCACTTCCCCCACCCTGCCCCCCTCCTCGCATCCTGCTGTCACGCTGACTGCTGTGCCTGAGCATGCTCCACACTGGCACTACTGTTTGAACACACACAGGGCTGCCGGAGCGTAATTATAGGTTTCTTAAGAGCTTAAAGACGTTCAAGCAAATCAAAGGTGGGGGCCACAGTGGCCTCGGTGTTATTTGTTGCTTCCGCACGAGGAGGCTTAGGGCGTATTTGTAGTTTCACACAAGGCTGCGCTGAATCAAAAGGCCGCACCGCTTTGTTTTGTCTCCTTTACAGCAAATCAGGCGTACAATTTGTTTTGTACGTATGATTTCCAGGCATCCATTCCCTTTCTGGATCATTTCTGCATACGTTTTCTATTCCTCTGTAATGTATCTGAAGTGCACAGGGTTTTATTTAATAACAATAATGTAATGGGAGCCATGTGGAAGTAGAAACGAAGGGATGCCTGGAATGGCAGAGAAAAACACATTCAAATCTCTTAAAATGTAATGTAGAAATCAAAATATAGGATCAAATATGCAGCGGCCGGTACTTTAAAATGTTTATCTTGTGTCTTTCGTATTGATTTTGAATTGTTTTAGTCGTCTATAGCTGCAGCCTCTTAGATGACGTCAGTCCCCCCGTCCTCCCTCTGGAGACTCCTCCCATTGAAGCTATTGTTTATCGGTGCTGCTGATGCAGCTGTTTCTGTGGTGTGTGTGTGTGTGAGTGGGTAGGCGGGGACAGGAGTGCATGCGATCACTGGTGAGCAGCGAGCAGTCCCCAGCGCCATGTGGAAATCCACCAAGACGTCTTCCTCTGAAACTAATTAATCGACGCCACGAGCCCATTACGCTCGGTTAAAACAATTAGCATCTGCACATCGCGTGGGGGAAGCATTGTCATCTCGGGCGAAAAAAGAAAAAAAAGTGGTGCATCACGCTGGGATATAAATGACTGCGTGTGCGATCGAGCCAACACTTTCCCATTCGAATCAATGGAGCTGAGCGCCATATGAGGCAGATGTGTGTTAAAGGGATCTATGGAATCCTTTCAGAGCGTATATACAGGGGAGAGGACACACTGTGCTGAGACAGACGAGCTTTTAAATAACCAAGCTTTGTTTCCCCTTTAACTCGGCTGTGGTTAGGCCACCGCGTAACCCTTTCAAGTAGGAGGGGGGGGGGGGGGGGGGGGGGGGGTGGTTTTGGCATGTGCTTTTTAGCTAACCCATAAACCCTCACCTCCTCAAGCCCCACTCCACTCACTTCAGCCAGATAACAGCCAGCTCCTCCTAACCCCTATTAGTGGCTCAGTCAAACGATCCATCCATTCCCATTGAGCGTCGACCACATGGAAGGCCCATTCCTTCCCCGTTGCGTCGAAATGAAGGCGACGCGGACCGCTTGACAGGGTAATTACTTTTAATGAAATAATACGGCCATTGTAGACAGCAATTAAAAGTCGCTCTCACTCCACTCATTAGAGGAACTTACAGTTTACTTTCATTCCTCTGTTTTCTAATGATCCGAAGGCAGGCCTTTTAAATCGAAAAAAAAGGCTGGAGCGTGTTAACCCCCGGGGAACCGGCCCTTAGGTCCTGTTGACTGCGAGAGCACACAAACAAAGAGAGGAGGAGAGAATAAAGAAGAGGATAGAAAGGTATATACACCACCCATCCTCCCAACTCTCCACAGAGTCGGGGGGGACTCGAGGAAGTGAGTTTTCCCCAGGTGATCGTGTAGAGGGGGGTCCCACGTCTCAAGACCACCTCATATTATGACCTTTTTTTGTTACTGTTTGTGTTAAAACAAGCGAGCAAACATCAGAGACGCAATCATAGGTCCGTTTTTCCTACAGACTGTGATCTCATTTCATATCGACAGAGATACAGATACGCATTAAAGCAGCAGCTACGACTTTCTTTGTTTTAAAGCGTTTGCCAGCCAACTGCAGAACTGTTTGCCAAAGCTAACAAATGCAAATTGACCACCATTTCCTCACAAAAGTAACATTTCCATATTGCCTTAATGGTTTCTCTTTCTCCAGTCGTCGTCCTCATGAATTCACAGCCAGTGAGGCTTTCTGACTCCGTCTCTCTGCCCTTCTCTTCTCTTCTCTTTCTCTTTTCTCTCTGCAGCAATTTGGAAAGATTTTAGATGTGGAGATTATCTTTAATGAGCGAGGATCCAAGGTAAGTGAACTAGAACACCAGCTGCTTCATTACCATGTACTTCTTCTGTTTCCTAATGATGGCATTAGTGTAGTGTGTACATTGGCTGAGAGTAGTGGTCCCTAAGCCTGGTCCTGGAGAGCTGCATCCACCATGCCTCTCTTTCTCCTCCTCCCTCCCGCCCTGTTGTTTTTGTTGTTGCAGCTCTAACCCAAGTTGTGAATCATTAGCCCTGTCAATCAATTCATTATTGAGCTGTTTCACAATTCACTTAATCCACCAGCAGGCTGCAGGTCCTGAAGCTTATGGAATTGAAACTGCTTGTTTAGGGAGCGGCTGTGTGAAGCCTGGGTGTTGGTCCTACATTATTCAGCTTTTCTCATTTTAGTTTTCACTATAGTTCAGGATAAGAACAACGTTCTCTGGGGCTGTTTTTGCAAATGAATGTAGTTTAGCTAAAATAAATGTGAAGGCTAATCCTAATTCCACCTCGCGTTTCAAGCTTTGGTTAATAAACATGACATCCTGTGTTCTCCGTCAGGAAGCTTTTACACATGCGAGCTGATTTCATCTGTGATTTTAAAGGAGCCAGTTAAATGACAAGCCCATGAAAAGAGCAAAAGCGACAATGTGTTAGCGCGTCTCTTGGCACGTTGCGACCTCCCCACTGTGGCCCCTCAGCATGAGCTCCATTGTTGCTGTTGTAGGTGTCACTCTTTAAAATTGGGTCACTGATTTATTTAAAAAAAAAAAGGAAACTGTAGTTATTTCAACAGGACTAAATAGTGCCGTTGTTGGGGACTATTTTCGGCGGCGGATCAGTCCACATTCGGGGGTCCAGTGGGTGTTTTTGGCAGCAGGATGGTGTTTGTCAAAATAAACTACAGTGGGTTTGTGACGACGCATTGATGTGTATGTATATATTAATAGTTTCTGGGCCAACAATGGAGGGATACCATGTAACAGGCTTTGACTGCACAGACAATACTTTTGGTCTTTTCATGGGATTCGTTGACAGAAGAAAATACAGCCGTCTTCTATAAGGTTTCAGTTCTACAGAACATCTAGATTCTACCTCTTACAATCTATTTAACAGCGTCTCACGGCTGTGATGGGAGGGGTGAATGCATGTATTCCAAAGCTAAGTCTCAACTCCAACAAGCCAGCAGAAAAATATCCACCTCGCTGCAGCGTTACCACAGTATCAGTCTCCTAACCACCTACCATGGACAGGTGAAGCCCGCGGTGGCGTGAACAGCCCGAGTGCTACTCATCCAGCTGTTCATTTAATAGAGTGTACTAAGCTCCACAGCTTCCCATTCATAAAGCAGACAGGGTCCCTGGCTGGGTGTTGAGGCATGAATACTATTGATTCCCATTCATACTTGGAGTAGTTTGGGCTCGTATAAAGGCATGCAGGGAGCACTGGAACCGGGCGACGCCGCCGCTCTCAGCCCCCCCCTCTGCCAGACAAGATTGAGCACCGGATAAACCTGCCTCCTCCGCCGTAACAAGCATTTATTGTTTGTGTTCTACAAAGCCATTACCCATGATGCCTCTCTCTCCCTCTCCCGCACCCTGTGTGCTATATAATGAACCTACCAGGCCATTAATAAACAATCTATTTTCTATGAAGCTTTGGCAATTTGCATTCAATATGTTTGTCTCCTTTGAAAAATGGTGGCTCCACTCTCTCCTCTTGTAAGCTAATTATTTGTGCATGATAAAAAAAGTAAAATAATAAAGATAGAGGGGGGGTAACCACAGTCGGGTGAACGTCCAAAGGATTCATTTTGCCCTCAATTCCTTTTTTGAATTTATTTCTTTATCTCTTTTCCCCGAGGACAGGTCCCGTGTTATTTATGCTGGAATAGCAGCCCCGGAGATCCTGTGTATGCGTACCAGATCTCTCACATGTATTACATCCTCAAGCAATTATCAGGCAGCACCGGCCATGCTCCCTCTCCCCCTGCCCGTATACCTCTATAAGTAGATATAGAAACCAAAGGAATGGGACTTGTTTGGCCAGCATATCTTAATGCTTCCTCTACAGGGCTCAGGTCCAGCATCCCAGTCCACATAACTCAAGGAAGTGACAACCCCCCCCCCCCCCCCCCCCAGGGGAGCGAGGGAGTCAGAGAGTTGGGGGAGGGGGGTGGAAATGAGAGGTTGGGTATATTTTGGTCGGGGTTTTTAAAGTCAATAATCAGGCTCTTCTTCATCACAGACGTTTGGTATTTTTGTGGCGAACACCATTCACTCTTCTGCATCAATGAGATGGCGTCATTTTTCCTCCAAAAAGAAAGCTGTCCTACTTAGAGCAGTGAATTAGACACAGCCAGAGATCAAGTCTCTCCCTCGGAGGATTCACCTCCTCCCGTCGGCCACGTCTTCAAAAGGAAGCCGGGGGCTGTTTGAGCGTCCGCGCTGCTGAAGTTGCGTAGATAATTATGTGACTATTATGGCAGCTAACACGCTGTTTTGCATCCGCGGCTTCCTGACATTCACCCATGGCACCGGTGCTGTGCTGTTTAATTGGGTAAAGCAGGAAGGTTTGTTGGTGTTGTTGCGCGAGGTCATGTCACTGTTATCCTCTCCTCCTCGGATCTCTCTGTTTGCTGTTTCCTGACGCCTCACTAACTGCCTCTAATTAATCTGGCTGCTTACAACTCGACTCTGCCGCCGCTGCTGCTCACCTACTCCTGTCATCTCACCTCTCTTTCCCTTCTCTCCTCCCTTCCCCTTTCTTTTCCCTCTCTGTGTATGAATGTGTGTGTGTGTGTGTGTGTGTGTGTGTGTGTGTGTGTGTGTGTGTCATTCCCTTCTCCTTCTTCTCTACCGGCGGCTAACGTGGCGCTCTCAGGGCTTTGGGTTTGTAACTTTTGAAACAAGCACAGATGCTGATCGTGCACGGGAGAAACTAAACGGTACAATCGTAGAGGGACGCAAAATAGAGGTGCTTTCATTTTTCCCCTTTTCCCATCTTTTTCTACTTCCTGCCTGCCGCCTCCTAAACTTACCTTTAAACCCCCATGCATTAGCATGTGGCTGCTCTGTGTGTGTGTGAATGTCTGCATCCCTGAATGTGTGTGTGCCTGGATGCGTGCATGCATAATGGTGCGTATAACTCCTTCTCAGTAGAGTGCGGGATCCATACATGTCGAACCGGACACGCCAGTTGTCCATCATGACCTGACGATGCAGAATGAATGCATGCCATCATCCTCTGGGTTTGCTGTCAAATCTGAGACGACCTGCATTCCGCTGTCACCAGTGTTTAGTGTTGCCTGCTCTAATTCCTCCTGTTTACGATGAGCCCCCCCCCCGCTCTCATCAGGTCAATAGATGACAATCAAAGCGCTGTCTGTTTTTCTTTTGGAATCCATTTGTTTATCCAACCAATTACTGTATTTGGAGGATGTTATTATTATTTCTATTCATACCTGTAGGTAATTGGTGCATGCCCCCCCCCCTATTTCCAGTAATTTAATCTGTAAGAAAAATGAAATGATGAATAAATTCATGAAAGGGTGATCTCAATCACACCGAAGTGCTACATGCATTATTTACATAATCATTTATTTATTTACCTGTCCTGTTATGCGTTTGTGTGGGTTTGCTGCCTGCTTCTGGCCCGTCCTGGATGTCTGGATAGTGACATAGTGAGTCGGGGAATAACACGCTGCGTGTTTTTTGTCGCTTTGAACAGGTGAATAATGCAACAGCACGAGTGATGACAAACAAAAAAGTGGCCAACCCTTACACGAATGGTAAGTGTCCCGACAGCATCACGACATCCTTCAAATGATAACATGTGGTTCTCGTTGTGAGTTGACTTTTCTTCTTGTTGTCCAGGCTGGAAGCTGAATCCAGTGGTGGGAGCTGTCTATGGTCCTGAACTCTATGCCGGTAAGAGACCTCCAGCTTCTGCAGTTTAAATTTTGAGTGTATTTTTTTTCCTTTCCTCCACATGCACTGCACCGTACCTGAGGCCGCTATCAGCCGCAGCCAATCCCAATCTGACCCCTGAATTTCTACAATCGGGCTCATCCTGAACCTACTGAACATGAAATTCCCCTCAAATCAAAGTGAATCTGAGAGCGGCCCAGATAAGCAGTGGATGATCCAAGCCCCTCTGAGTGGCTGAGGGAGCCTGAGCCATTGTTTGCGCCGTGTGCAACTGTAAAGCTTTGAGAAAAAAATCAAAAATGATTTCAAGAGCAAGCGCCCCTGCAACTGTTATCAGATTGTGGAGGCTGCTGCTGTGGATGGATTTGCCAAGTGCGCCAGATTGACTTTTACAGAGCTAACCGAATAAGGGAGATTGAGTGAGCGATATTGTTGGCACCTACCCTGTCGAAGGCCTCTATTCCTTCTGGTCTTTGTAATGGAGGAATGAGATGAGCTCAGTGGGGTTTTCCCTATCTCTCTCTCTCTCGCTCTCTCTCTCTGCCTCGACATGCCAGCTTTATTGCTGTATGTTATATGAACCCTTTGCATTTTAATGAGGGGGAAATGGTACTATTTCATTTGGAAGAAGTGCTGAGCACATCGCGCCACTTTAACGGCTTTCCTTTCTGCTCATTAGACTAAAATCTGTTCATTCCCCGGACAGCTTTACGGCGAACCTCTAAATAACTGTCCATGACAGAAAGCAGTCATCTATCAATTTTATTTCATCCCCCAACCCCTCACTCCACCCCCCATGCCTCCCACCCAACCTCCCCCCACAGCCCTCTCTTGGTTTCGACATCTTCCCCCTGGTAATTACACACACACATGAACATACACACACCCCTCTGAAGGTGCATGCACGTGTTCAAACATGTGCATCATGCCACGGTCAGGTGGAGTTTTCACTTAATTAAAATCGTGGACATTAAGTGAGTCTTAACTTAGACAAACAATCACTTCACTGACCTATATGCACACACAGCACTATCGCCGGCCCTGTGTTTCCACACTCAGACCAAAGCATTCCAGCATACAGAAATAGATAACCCATGTAGAACACAGACGCTAATACATGGCCCCTCTCTCAGCCGCACTTTCTCCATTTTACACTCACACAGACTCACGCACACACACTTCCCAAATCATCTCATAAATCAGAGGGAGTGTGGTCCACCACTCCAGGCAGGGGAAGCAGGAGGGGTTGGGTGATTTATTGGCTGCTAATTTTTCAAGTCGTCTTGACATGGCACTGGAGTTTGCCAAGCCTAAACGACAACATATGCTTGCCAGCTGGGAAGATGAGAAACATAAATAAGAGATACATTTTTGAAACAAAACCGCCCTAATGAGCAGCAAAAGGGACGTTTTAGTTTTTGGGGAAAAAAAAAAAAAATGAGGACGATGTTCCACCCTCCCTAAGAAACAAATTCCACAAGAGTCAGGTTTGTGGGAATCAGGACGGATTCCAAAATCATCATAGCTACAGTTAATATACTTTTGGTGGGAGTAAAATGGGATATAAAGGCGATTAATCACTGTTTATCAGTCCTCATTTCTGTGCGGGAGATCAGTGAAATTGGGAGCCATAAATCCTGGCTCGGTGACAGCACACTTCGTCTCCATTCGTCCTGGCGCTACAGGTTTATTGTCCTCAAAACCCATTCAGGAGAATGACGGATGAGAGCCTCATGCCGGCTCCCCGCTCTTAACCTCTTCCAGGGTAGATTGGCTCCTCCTACTGATGGAGGAGGGAGGGAGGGGGGGGGGGGTATGTGGTCGGGGTCATGCAGGCGGGGGAAACCCAGAGTCAATGTTCTACATCTAGAAGCTTGCAACGGGGGGGGGAAGAGGAGCAAGGTGATCGGGCTCCAAGTCAAATGGAGGGATTGGCAATAAAACATGGCAGTGGCACAAATCATGGCGTGTAGCAGCTGGTAGGCATCCAGTATCTGTGCTCACCTTTGTCCTCTTTTACTCCGCGCTGATCTGGTTTACATGAAAACTTTTTGTAGAGCAAACCCCAGACTCTGGCCTTGTGTGTGTGTATATATATATACAGCATATATATATGCTGTATATATATATATATGCTGTATATAGATATAGGTCTGTCCATATATAACGACCATCTCACTGGCTCTGTCCTGATCCAATTTATTCCCTTAATGGCACTTGTATACGTGTCTGTTTATACAGTTTATAATTATGTACACAGCGAGTGGGTGTGTGGCTAAATACAAATGTGAGTGTGTACAGCAACGGTGCGCATACGTTTTAATTTGTGCTTGTATATAGTTTTAGATATGCATATATTAGTTTGTTGTATATCTACATATGGAACAGACTTACGTATCTTTGCATGTTTACGAGCACAGATGTGGATCTGTAGGATCATTTTTAAATTGGCATTGATTTTCTTTTCTTTTTCTTGATGATGATATGATAACAAAGCAGTTGCTGATGTGAATATTACAAATCAAAACATGGAACATTTTTTGTTAAAAATCAGAGAAAGAGGCAGATCTGCACGCGATACATTTTTCTTTCCACTGTTAAGCTCATTTTACAATAATTGGCAAACTTTTGTGGATTATTCCTGGTGTTGGATGTCTTCAGCATCATGGACAGCTGCCACTTAGAAACCCCCTCATGTGGCCAGACCCCTCAGGCTAACAGAGAGCGACTCTCCTCCGCAGCTAATTCCTAAGGAGACGGGAGATGAGTAGCTTCTCATTCGCTGGTTCACACTTTCTGCTGCTAAGGTGGAGTTTTCTTGAGCACTCGTGAAAAGCTAGCAGCTGTATAAATGACAGCAAAGAAAGGCTAATTGCCATCTTAATATATGTAGACAGATTCTTTCTTTGTTGGAGTGTACGTTAGGGGGATAATTAAGCTCCAGACTCTTGATTAGATTAAGCTGTTTTCGGTCCCCAGTGCGTGGATTAAGTGCTCAGTGCCCGATGTATTTGAGCAGGAAGTATTAGAGAGATCAACCTTGTGGAAAATCAGATCTTTCTTTATGGGAGCCGGTTATGACCCCATCATTGGCACAGAGCTGGATTACCTCAGGTCCAACTGGCTCTGTAGGTATTGAGCTTCTCTCAAGTTGACACATATGACATATGAGGTGCGGCGTGACACCGCCGCCCTCCAGCGCATAACTCATATTTTCTCCAGCCCCCTCACCCCTCCTGGGGAAGGTGTTTGACTTTGGTGGCTAGACCAGGTTTGTGCTCTCATACACCGTAGCTGTTGTTGCTTTTCACGGGCTTACCAAGGTGTGACAGTGCCTTTGATTTATGGGTTATTATTGAAGCAGTGTAGCCTATCGCCAACTCATTATAAGTTTACATTCACATACATCACTGCATGCATATTGCATACAAATTTCCAAAAAGGGAAAGAAAGAGGCAATTGGACTCTCTGGGGCCTAGAAATAGCACCGATTTGTTAAGAAGAGGGGGTGGGGGGGAAACACACCTCGGAAACTATCAAAGAGGATTGTTTTTGCCCTTTAGCAACTGCGCTCAGATGTCCACTGCTCCAAAAAAAGAGACTAATTTAAATGTCAAGGTCAGCATTATAAATCACTTGGGGGAAAGGGGGCACCCTGCGAGTCCAGGGCAGTCCATTGGTACGTTGGCAGCAAACAAAGTGCCATGCACCTTGTTGGTGGGTGTTTGGGGGGGGGGGGGGGGGGGGGGGG